AATATATGTAATTTTTATTATTTCCAGACCTTTCTCTCTTAAGTAACTAGTACTGTCATTTGCTATATAATCATCTGTACTTATTTCTGTGTGCATACAAATACATATGATTTTTTTTCTGTTCTTTACAAATAAGAGATCATGCTATCTTTTTTACATAAAAATAGCAGACGTGGCTTCCCCCACCCTGTGTGTGTGTTCATAGACTAACTTTGTATATTAGAGATATTAATCCTTTCTTGTGTTTATTGTATGTTCTCTCAATTTATTGTCTTTTGATTTTGTTTACAATATCTTAAAGATATATGATACTTTTGTGTAATCAAATCTGTGTTTTATTTATGGCTTCTAGTTTCCTCATTTGCTTAAGGAGGTTTCTTCACTCTAGGCTATAGAAACATTCACAAATATTCTTTAAGTACTTTTATTTTTGCATATAGGTCTTAAATCCATGAGGAAATTATGTTTGTATGTAACATGAAGAATGAGTCTAACATTTTTTTCTCCAAATGGATTGTCCATTAGGTCAATATGCAGCTTCTATTTCAAGTCAGCTCCTTGCCATATTGAAGTCTATTAATTGAAGTTTTCATAGGACTACTGTGAAATGTTTTTATGAAAAGTAGGAAAGGAATGCCTTCCACAAGATAACTTTATTTTGATCTGCCAGATTTTTAAATGGATTTATTCAGATATAATTCATGTACTATAAGTTCACTAATTTAAAATGTACAATTCATCAGTTATTAGTATATTCATGTAGTTATGCAACCATCACCACTCTCTAATTTTATTGTATTTAGTTTTTAGTCCTCACTCAAGGCTATTTTATTGATTTTAGAGAGAGAGGAAGCAGGGGCAGGGAGAGAAACATCTGTGTGAGAGAGAAATATTGATCGGCTGCCTGGGGATTGAACCCATGACCTAAGTATGTGCCCTCATCTGGAATCGAACCCATGACCTTTTGGCACACAGAGTTGACTCTCCAACTAACTGAGCCCCCGGTCAGGGCATTACTATCTAATTTTAAAGTACTTAATCTTGGTACCCATTAGCAGTCACTCTGCATTCCTTGCATTCCCCCTTTCCCCTAGCCCTAGGTAACCACCGTCTATTGTACTGTTTTTATAGATTTGCCTTTATTTGGACATTTCATATAAATGTAATCATATAACATGTATTTTAGAACTTGTTTCTTTCATTTAGCATATGTTTTCAATGTTATATCATGTATCATGTAGCATGTATCAGTATCTCATTCCTTTTTATTTGTGAATAATATTCCATTGCGTGGATAATGTTGCTATGAATATTTGTGTACAAGTTTTTGTGTTAACAGAAGTTTTCATTTCATTTCTATACCTAGGGATGAAATTGCTAGGTCATATGGTAACGCTGTTTAATCTTTAAAGGAACTGTGAGACTGTTTTCCAAAGCAGCTGTACCATTTTACATTTCTATTCCAATTTCTCCACAGAAAATTATTGGAAATTGGAAAAACAAATGTAAGATATTTAGAATGTGAATGGTGCCCTCTTGAAAGTGGCTTTTTTGTTTAGCGTACAACCATGTGCAGTGGTCCTGAGTTGATTGCCCCTCACCCTTGTTGAAATGTAGTAATTCAGTAATGGGAAAATCTATCTGATGTAACCTCTACTTCCCTCCCTCTTGTTGCCATTTTAGAATTCCCTAGGGACAGAGATCAGTGTCCCTGTACATTCCTTGCAACCAGTCTTTATCTCACATTTTTATTTATTTATTTTTTTATTCATCTCACATTTTTAAAACAACAGAATTGAAGTTATATATTTGATCCTTGTTATTTTTTCTTGTCAGCAAGAGCTAAGTAAGGTTTGATTATATTTTCATCTGACAGTCAATAAATACAATTTTTTTCTTCAGGATTTAGCTTTGAGAGTGCTTTCTGTGTATTTTTTCCCTTTGTGGCCTACTAATTATAATTTATATCTGTCACTTTCCTGCTCTGAGTTTATAGAAGTAGTTTGTTGGTATGATAGTTTTTGTTTAGCCATGAGACACCATTCTTTCCTCCAGTTTAGTGTTCCTGAAATTAGAAATGAAATTAGAAAATAACATAGTGGTTAATATGGTAGTGGTTTTTAAATCTTTTTTCTCCTGACAATGTGGTCATTAATTCATGAAGCCTCTTAAAATTAGTGGCATCTTGGAATTTAAGAAATATATGCAGTATGTAAGTGTGAAAATAACTAGATTTATTGGTGATTAGTATTTTGGAAATTAGGAATCGTTGGTGATTGTCACTATCATTTAAATGAAAGGTGGTTCTGTAGTTGAGTGAAAAAGCTTAGTTTGTCCAACTTTATAAATGTAGTTTATATTGTGTAAATTATTTAGGAACATAGTTCAAATTTTATTGGTATGTTGATGATGATACTATAAGCATTTTGTTATTTTAGTGACTTGCGTAATGTCAGTGATTTAGAGGTTTAATGCAAAACATCTTAAACTAGGACACTGCTCACCCTTTTATTTTTGAAGAGCAAATTACATGGCTATATACACAGTATTTATTTTTTTAATTGTAAAAACAGTAAGGGATTATATAATATTTAAAGAAAAATATCAATTCTTTAATATTTTTATTTTGTCTAATCTTTTTTAGTTTTTCTCTTTATATAGTTAAAAATATAGTAATATATATGTTGTTTACTCAGTCTCTAGGTATTGAATATCTTTTATGTTCCAGGTACTTTGCTTAAGGACATAGTAGTGAAAAAGGCAGACAGGATTTTTATTCTCATAGAACAAATAGTCTAGTGGAAAGTATGGATAGTAAGGCATATAACTTATATGATAATGTTAAGAGAGTTACATATGTTGCTTGAGCATTTAACAGGGACATACCTGCTGGTCTAGGGGGTTAGGAAATGTCTCCCTGATGAAGTGACCTTTAATCTGAGAAGGAAAAGATAAACAAGTCATCTGGGAAGGGGGTGGAAGAGAATTTTAGGGAGAGAGAGCTAACTGTATATGTTCTCCTAGAGGAAGGAAGAGATGTTTGCTGAACTGAAAAGTACTTAGAAACACATATGTCATACATATATATCAGTTTTTGCTTTTTCTTTTTGTTATTTGTCCCTGCTTTGTTCCTAGCAGAGTGGGAAATAATTGAGACTAGAAGAAGGTAGGGACAGGTGTGTAAAGTACTGTTTTAAGTATTTTTCATATGTTAGTTCATTGAACCCTATAACAACCTTTTTTATTCACAGGTGAGTTAACTGAGGCATGGAGTGCCTTTTCTCAGAGTTAATACAGCAGAACTGATAGAGACTATACATTCTGCATCCAGAGTTTGTGTGCTTTCTTTACACTCTCAGGGACTTTCCACATACTGTTCCCTATTTTTGGACAATTTTTGCCTCCAGATTTTGCTTTGCTATTTCCTACTCAAACTGGTTCTTGCTTAAAGTTAACCATTTTTCTAAGAGATGTTCCCATCTCTCCAAGTTCCCTTGATCTACTACTTTATGTAGTAGTATCTTCACAGTTACTATATTATAGTTACTATTTATGTGATCAGTCATTTGTCTAGACAGAGGTGTATAAATATACTCCTCTAAAATCCAAAGCTCACGAGACAAAGAATGCATTCTATTACTTATGGCTGTATCTACAGTGGGTACCAAAATTCTCTAAACATACTTTGAAGCTCTTGAAATATTTATTGAATGAATGAAGGGTTAGATTATGAATGATGAATTCATAAAGAAATGATGGAATGGTTAGAGAGGTAGTTGGAAAGCCAGTAGAATTTATCATCATAGAAGCCAAGTGAGAGTTTCAAATAGCAAATATGCCAAATATAGCAGGGAGAAATAATATCAGAACTAAAATTGATCTTTGGAAGGCAAAAAGCGTAGTACTGAGGAAGAGCCAGACAGACCTGGGCTTTTACCTTTTATTGGCTGTTAACCTGTTTTCCATCTCTATGAAGGGAATAATATTAACAGCTACCTCATGGTGATTGTGAGGGTTTTTTTAAAAAAAAGATTTTATTTATTTTTTAGAGGGGGGGAAAGGGAGGGAGAAAGAGAAGGAGAGAAACGTTCACAAGTTGCCTCTCGCATGCCTCCAGCTGGGAACCTGGCCTGAAATCCAGGTATATGCTTTGACTGGGAATCTAACCAGTGACCTTTTGGTTCGTAGATCAATGCTCAGATCACTGAGCCACACCAGCCAGGGCTGATTGGGAGGTTTAAATAAAATAATCTATCTAAAACATTTAGCGTAGAACTTTGCACATGTTAACAGTCTCAGTAAGTTTTAGGTATTTTTATTACTTTTAACTTACTAATACTGACCCTATTATCGGAACTCATTTGTAATACTTAAAAATGTGTAGTTGATTTTTGTATTGCCTTGCTAAGCAGTGTCCTATCAAAGCGTGCCTGTTCCCTTCCTACCCCTTATGATAGACAGGATATCTACACAAAATGGTCTCCAAACATAGTGAATTGTTTTCCAGAGTGGTTTGGTATCTCACAGACTATTGAGCACTGTATTAACAGTGAATTTATTCATTTTTATCAGATTCATTGTCACTTAAAATGGATGTGAGATTAGTATAGGAGGTGTGGGGTAGGCAGTGGTTTATAGAAGAAATGGGGTATGGAGGTATAAACAAGTTTAAGCAGTTCCTGTTTAGAAGTTCCATATTTGTATTGCTTGCCAGGTATTTAGTGGCATATTGCAGAATACACAGCAAGTAGCACTCATCACTGTGCATTGTGGTTTATTTTGTAAGTTTGTAGGTAGTATCTAACATGTTAGATTATCATACTTCATGTTGATATAATGTATATATCCTATTAATATAATTAGTAATTTTCTCTCTCTTTTTTTACCCAGCCATCTTTCATTAGGTGCTAATTACAGTATGAAAGGATTCAGAGATGCTGTGCAAAGATAATGGCCAGAAATATGGAATCCACACTGGGTCCTCCTCAGTGGTACTTGTATCACCACTCATGTTTGAGTTCCTCATAAGAATGGCAGTAGTTAAAAAGCATGTAAGCTGCTAGCACCATATAAACTCCAGCAACATTCCCTTTCTTCACATTCATATACATGTTGTAATACCAGTAGTACCCTCTTTGAAATGCTCCAGCAGTGCCTTTAGGGGTAAAATCCCGCATCAGTATCCAGCTTGGCAGCTCCCCTAGTTTGACATCCATGAGTCTCTTCTCCTTTAATGATCCAGCTGATGCCATCTTGGAGTCCGGGCTATAATTAGAAATTTTCTAGAGTTTGTTCACAGCTAAAATGATCTAGGCTAAAGGGCTTCATGCTATTGATTTAAAAGGTGAAAGATTTATATAATCTGAAGAGAAACCAGGGTATGACCTGCTATAGATTTAGTTAGAGTTCCTTGAATTTGGATCAGGTTGTTCTAGATTGTTGTGATTTGAAAACATACTAGAAATTCCAAAGTTGCAAGTGAAAATGAATGTTGGATTTTGTCTTTTAAATGAAGAGAGTGTTGCAAGTCTTAGTTCTGTGTTTCTCCTTGGAACTGTGTTTTAAATTGAATATATCATGGTCGGAACCATGCCAGAAGAACAAATTGTATAACAGTATGGCATCCTTGCTCCTGCATGGAAAACCTAGATTATATAGATACCTTACCAAAAGCTGAAAAATATCATTTACAAAGAATATTGCTTTGAAAGTTCAAAAACAACATTCTGGCAGCTGCTATAGGGACTGCTTTTCAAGCAGTTTACATTTAGATAAAAAGCATTGTTGTGAAGTATCTTCAGAATTTGGATTTATCTTTACTAGAAATACTGAAACTTGGTATGTGGGGTTTGCCATTCATGATTTTCTAGTCTTGCTGCCTAAATGGGTTCATGAACTATGCTGTTAGGCATACTGGTCTTTTTCCTACTCGATCATATTAGGGAAACATTTTTCTATTCTTAAATACATTTTTAGGGTAGTGATCAATTTTTTTCAAATTAACTCTTTCAGCTTATTGATACTGTATTTTTTTTCTTTTATAGAAAAAGATCGATTACAAGGAGGATAGAGATGAAAAGAGGGAGGTGAAGGAACAGAAGGGTATAGCCAAGGTGTTAAAATTTTAATTGGAAACTTTTGCTCTGTATCTACAGTGGGCAACTTGAGCCTGCAGAAGAACAGAAACTAGAAAAATGCCCCCCCCCCCCCCCCCCGCTTTTGCTTCCTAACTTCAACCTGACCTTACTCTCAGATTGCTGGATGCTATTGTAATAAGAGGAAGGCCCTGGTTGGTGTGGCTCAGTGGATTGAGTGATATTCTGTTATTTTTTTAATAATGTGTGTCACTTAGATTCAGTTTTTTTCCTTTTTAAAAAATGAACGGAATCATGCTTTCCCAACCCTTTTCAGAATGTTTTGAAAGTAAATAAATACTGGTAGAAAATACTCTTGAGTTCTTTGCAAGAAATACTGAAATTCCGTTGGGTTGGCCAAAGGTCCTTCACATTTTTCTTTTCTGTATTATGGCTCTAGTAGTGCTTAGTTGTCTTTAACCTCATTTGAAACATTTTTGTTAGATTGTATTGTGACAGCTGTCATATCAGCGTGCATTAAAAGAAAAAACATAAAATTTGGTGAGTTTTTGTGTAGCCATTTTCATATTGAAGATGGAACAAAATATGCAATGTTTTTGGCATATTATGCTTTATTATTTCAAGAAAGGTGAAAATGCAACTGAAACTGAAAAGAAAAAAAAGATTTTGTGCAGCATATGGAGAAGGTGCTGTGACTGATCTAACGTGTCAGAAGTGGTTTACAAAGTTCCTTGGTACTGTTGACATTTTTGCCAAGTGCTTCTTTGCTGTGGGGGTGTCTTATGCATTGGAAGATGTTTAGCAGCTCCCCTGGCCTCTATCCACTAGAAGCCAATAGCAGGAGTTAGCTGACATACTCAAAATATCCTAATCAATAAAGTGGTGAAAATGAAAAATGTGTATTTCATTTTATGGAAAAAACTAAACGGACTTTTTGGCCAACCCAAAACTTTACATTTATAAATATAAAGACTTCTGGAATCCTTTCATTGTAAAGAAACAAAAATTGAAGGGAATTTTAAAATTGTGTACTTATGAGTAGTGAATATAAAAGCAGTTTTGTGTAAATTATTATTTGCTTTTAATAACTAACTCAAAAGGTATGTGGCCAGTCAGTCATTTCATTAGTAATACAGAACCAAGGATGGGCATTAGAAATTAAACAAGGAAGAAGGGGCAGGGAGGACTGGAGAAGGATAATTGAAGGCAATAAGATATAACCTACATAACACATGGAGTTAATTCAAATATTTATTGAACACTTCCTTTGCTCCAGGAACTCTTCTAAGTACATTTAGTTAAACTGACAAAAACCCATTTCCTGGTGGACTTCATATTCCAATGAGAAGATACAGACAACAAATATATTGTATACCAGATGATGAGAAGAGCAATGGAGAAAAATGAAACAGGGTAGAGTGTGAGAAGAGGATGGTGGGATGGGTGGTTTTCTATTTTCCAAAGGATTGTCAGGGAAATGTCTTTACTATAAGGTTATATTTAAGCAAAGATATGAAAGAAGTAAAAGAGCAAACCATCCACCCTGGTGGAGTGGCTCAGTTGGTTGAAGCGTAGTTGGTGCCATACACTGAACAGTCACAGATTCAATTCCTGGTCAGGGCACTTAACCCAGGTTGTGGGTTCAGTCCCTGGTCGGGGTGCATACAGGAGGCAAGTAATTGGTGTTTCTCTTTCACACCTATGGTTCTCTCCCCCCCTCCCTCTAAAATCAATAAACATATCCTTGAGTGAGCATAAAATGAAAAAAAGAGCAAACCATGCAGTTAATTATCTGGAGAAAGGTGTTCTAGTTAAGCAGAATAGTAAGTGCAAAGGCCCTGCATGGTAGTATTTTTGTTGTATTCAAGAAACCAGAAGAGACCTGTATCCCCACATCTTGGAACTAAGTGGGGAAACTGGTAGGAGATAGAAGAGAGGTAGAGGTTATTGCAGGACAAATTAAATAGGGCTGTTAGACCTTTGTAAGGACTTTGGCTTCTAAAACTTTTGAGTGAAATGGGAAATCATTTAACAGGTTTTGAGCAGAGGAGTGACATAATCTGAAATATGCATCAAAAGGATCACCCTGCTGCTGAATTGAGAAGACTGTAAAGAGTTAGAAGGGCTGAAGCAAGGAACCAGATAGGAAGCTATTACAGTGGGTCTGATACTGTCTCGGGTCTGATTGATAGCTGTCAAATTAGTAAGAAAAATATGAAAAATTAGTGAAAAATGGGTTCTCACTAATTATATTGTCATGATTTCATTGATATAATTAACATATTCTTCATACATTTTGAAGGTCAGTAACACTTTGCTGACTGAATGGACATGAGGGGCATTAGACAAAGAAAGGATTCAAGTTTCATTAGAATCTTTTGACCTAAATAATTATGGTGGTTGTTGCATTTATTGAAATGTGGAGGCCTGTGGGAAAAACATTGGGGTGGGTGAGCAGGTTAAGATAAATTGATTTTGGACATAGTAACTTTGAAGTCCTAATTATTGGACATCCAGTTAGCTTGTCAGGTAGGGATTTAGATATATGAGTCTGAAGTCCCTGGAAGAGGTCACAGCTGGTCTGTCTAGACATACAAATATGTGAATCATCAATGTTAGATGGCATTGAAAGTCAAAAGATTAGATGTTGTCATGTTGGAATTTAGTGTAGATAGAAAAGGAAAGGGCATGTCCTGGGGCACTCCAGTGTTTAGAGTTCTGGGAGAAAAGGAGGAACTGATTGGCAAAGGAGACCAAGGTTGACTAACCAGTAAGAGAGAAGAATCCAGAGAAGTATCCTGGAAGTCAGGTGAAGAAGTGAAGGGGCTGTTCAGCTGTGTCAAATCCTGTTAAGTAAGATGAGAGGACCAAGAATTGAGTGATGTACATTGGTGAATTTGACCAGTAGTGTTTGTGCAGATGTAATGGTGAAAGTGTAATTGATGTATTCAAGAGAAAAAGACAAGATGAGGATTTGGAGATGGGGAGTATAGACAACCCTTCCAAAAAGTTTTGTTGTAAAGATGAATAGAAATTGCTGATGGAGGATACAAGGTCAAGAAAAATTTTCTTAGATGAGAAGTATTGTAGTGTAGGTAACAGAAACCTCCCCCTTCCCCCGCATCTGGGTTCTGTTACTCTGTGGTTCTTTTTGCCTGCTGCCAATAAAAACTGACTCACTGGCTCTCAATGCCAGAGTTTGGTAAAAAGGAAAAGAACTATTTATTCAAAAGTTACACAAGTTCAAAATAATGGTGGAATGTCGCTGTTAAATCCCACTCCCTTTAAAAACAAAGAAACACCCACAAACATACAGTCTTGCCTCTTCCTTGCCTCTCTGGAAAAGAAATAGTAGTCTGTAGTTTAGCTGGGCAGATTCCCATCTGTATCCTGGCTTCTTCCAGTCATCCAAGCTGCCCTCGCTAGGCTCTCATTCTTAATCCAAAACTGCGTTGCACCTCCTCATGGTGAACCAGGGAATCCTGCATTCTTTCAAACCGTGTGGCCAAAGACCCCGCACCACTGCTACATGGTTGGGAGGTTTCTTCCTCAGCCTCATGGTCAGGAGCCCTGCAGAGCTGCTACACCCTGCTTTTCTGTTTATTCTAAACTGTGTGGTCAAGAGAGCATGGTTAAGCCCCAGCATGGCTTCCGAGGCTGGGTTTACATCCCAGCACGGGTGTTCCTCCATAATACCATTTCCGACTCCCACGCTGCGTTACACCTGCCAGTAATCCAGTTTCTTTTGCCTTTCTCAGCTGCCAGTGGTAGTCCAGGCAAGCATGGCCCCGTGACATAGGAGCCATCGCCGAGCTGCTCTCACAGATGCAGGAAGCCCTTACAGCTACATCACATCAGAGGTTAGAGTCTAGCCCATCTCCCTGGCTCCAAGCAGGCACAGCTTTTAGCATTACTAACACTGGCCAAGTTCTTGAGATACGCAGAGTAGCTTTCACTGGCCCTACTCTGCTTTTATCCCCCTAGCGATAGCAATGGGAGTTTTCTCCATTTGAAGGGACCTCCAGCTCAGCACCCCGTTACAGTGTTTTTGTTCTGATTGCATTATCTAGAGGAATGCTGAGAAACTGATGATATATGGGAAAAAGGGGATAGTTGCCTGAATAATGCTCTTTAGAAGGCAACAGGGATAGGATTTA